TATATTAAAGAAAAAAAGCAGGACTGAGTGAGGACGGTCCTGAGAGCTGAATAAATGGAGACTGCCTGTCCGAGACCTGGCCACGGGACCCCTGCCTGCGAACCTGGGAGGGCGGGAGAGGGGAACCTGGCAGGAGGGGCACCTGGAGGCACGCAGGGGCTTGTGGGAAGGAGCTCAGCCTACGCCCCCGGGCAGAGTCCACGGAGCACAGCCACGCGCCGCATCCTCTAATTACATGTTGACTTATTAGTCACTATTAATTAAACAGGAGCTTCCTCCTGCCCCAGCCCCAAGTGCTGGGCACCAGGCTCAGAGCCTGGGCTGAGCCAGGCCGCCGGGGTAGAGAAGCAGGGGTGAGGAGAGGCGGGGAGGGAGGTGGCAGGTGAAGGGGATACACAGGGGCAGTCACCGAGTGTCCACTCTGATGAGAAGTGACCCTGGACCTGGGGACTGGGGGCAGGAAACAGGGACAGTCAGGGAGACAGAACGCCACCCCTTCTTCAGCTCCCCATGCCCTGGGACCAGGAGCCCGGATCTGGCGAGCTGGAGAAAGGGTGGACATTTCAAGGCCGGAGGAGGTGTGAGAAGCCAGGGGTTGGCTGTGTCTCCATAACCAGCAAGGTTCCCTGAGCCCGGAGAACTCGTGCACTTGCAGGCTCACTCTCGGAAACTGGGTCTGTGTCGTCATGAACACCCAGCGCTGAGGGGGAGGGAGGGATCACGGGGGACTGAATTACCTTTCAAGTCTAAAGCCTGGATTCCTCCAGGCCCCGCGGGTGGGCGTGTGCACACATCCCCAGAGCATTGTGGGATGCTGGCTGTCACTGGGGAGCCGCAGAGGCTGCTCCAGCTCCTTCAGTCCCGGTTTCCTTCCCTCAGGCAAGGGGAGGGTGGGGCCTGGACCCAGGGTGGGCAGAGGCGGGGACAGGGAGGTCAGGCAAGACTGGGAGGCCTTTGGTTAGAAGCCTGACTGCCGTGTTCTAGCCACACGTGACATGACTTAACCTCTTGGCTTCCTCATCTAAAAAGAACGTAACAATGGTAACAACAGCGTGAGCCAGTCTGACTATGTGCCAGGCACTGGCTGAGCACTTTATTTCTTTATATCCTCACAGCCCTATGTGGTAAGTAAATCAGTCTCATTCTGCAGACGAGGAACCAGGGGCTCCGAGAGGTTAAGTGATGTTCCTACAGTCACACAGCTGGTAAGTGACAAAGTGGGGACTCTGACCGCAGCGCCTCACCCAGAGTGATGCATGGGCCGTGTCTCAGGTCTCCGTGAGGAGTAAAGGAGTAGCGTACAGAAAGAAGCGTCTAGCCCAGTGGCCGGCACACGGGGTGCTCAAGAAACAGCCAGTGTTAATGTTGTTACTATTTATTCATCGCTACAGGTGCTCAGTTTTCATTTTATGCTGCTCAGGGAGCATCGGGCTGAGAGATGGAGAAGCTGGTCGTGGGGATGGGGGTGGGGGCTGGGAAGGCAGCTGCAGGGAGGCTGTGGTGCAGGGGCAGGGGTGCTGAGGTGGGAAGGGGGTGCTGGATGCAGAAAGCCAGGGAGGCAGGGACAAGGAGAGTAGAGGACTCAGAAGTGAGTGACTGTATTTACATAAAGGTTTTGCTCCGGTGATCGCCTCATTGGTCAGACATCTGGTTTTCCCAGGCAGCCCCTGGGGAAGGGGAGTCAGACAGCATGACTTCGCAGCTCTAAGGCCACCCTCCCAGGCTTGCCGGCACTCGCTGGGCTCAGGACGCTGCCTGCAGAATACGCAGAATGGGCAGAGAGCAGGGGTCTGCCCCTGGAGCTGCCTGGGAGGGAGTGGGAGTCCCTTCTAGCTGCCCGCCAATCTCCTCTCACCTGCTCAGAGCTACAAACAATGGGGTTGACTCCTCCACACACTACCCATCCTGAGCTTCCCTCCTGGGTAAGGGGGCAGGAGATTGTGAGGAGCTGAAGAGGGCACTGAGGAGACCCCTCCATGCTGCTCCCCTCCAGAGTCACCAGAGAAGGGATCCGATGGAGGCAGCCCACCAGGCAGCTGCCCGGGCGCGCCTCTCTCTGAGGGGCGCTAAGGCTTCACTGGTCACTTAACGAGTTGGAGAAAAGAGTGTTTACCAGGCACAGCCTCAGGGTGAGGGGGTGGTGGCGGCAGGAACACTTCCATAAGCTGCTGGGCAGAGAGGTGAGATCCCCACAGGGGCTCAGGCTTCAACAACTGTTCATTAAGCTCCTTGCAGAGGAGGGGCACCTGGGGAACCACAAGGTTTAGGTGTAGCTCAATGGAACTAACTGGCGAGGTCAGGCCAGAGCTGAATTGTTCTGGCTGATGGGGGAGAGGCTGAGAGCTGCAGCGGGGGAGCCCCCCTTCCTGCCCAGGCCTCTGCTGCCCTTCTTCCAGATAAATATTGAACAAATATTAGAAGAGCGTTGGTTTGAAGAGGGACCGAGTTATTAGCCTGTCCTTGGCTCTCTCAGTTTTCAGTCCAGCCCTGTTGCAGAAATACCATAATGATGGCTTTGATGATTCCTTTCCTGTCTTGAGTCATGACTGCCTCCTGTTCATTCATTTATTCATTCTTTCATTCAACAGATGCTGCTAAGCACCTACTGTGTGCCAGACACTGTCCAGGCATGGGATACAACAGCAAACTGCTTCCTCTCTTCCACTGCTCAGGTGCGATCGAAGGAGCAGAGATCTGGGGCCTTTCGTGTGCCTAGATGGGGTTGCGGTGGGGGTGGGGGATCAGAATAGGCCTCAGGCTTGGGCTCGGAGCTCAGGTGGAACCCATCTCCTTGGGTGATAGGGAACTGGGGTGGAAGGGTTTTTGTGTGCCTGTGATAGGGAACTGGGGTGGAAGGGTTTTTGTGTGCCTCAGGACCAGGTGTGTGCTTGTATGGTCATGCCTTGTCGGGGAAAGTGTGTGTGTGTGTGTGTGTGTGTGTGTGTGTTTCTCCCCCCGCAGAGCTCAGGCTGGGCTGCTGGGGCGCGGTGTGGGAGGCAGAGGGAACAGTAAAGGATGCCAGGCTCTTCCCTCAGCCCCTATGAGAGCCCCCCCCCCCCCCCGGCTTGTCTGCTGGAGGGGTGTGCTAGGAGGGTGCCGCCCACAGGAAACAAGCACCCAAATGGAGACTAAGTTGGCTGTGATTTCTGTCAATCACCCAGGGAGGAGACCCGCAGGAAGGCCAGGAGGCAGCAGGGACCCTGAGGCTTGAAGTCATCCTCCTGAAAAATGTCAGACACTGGCTTAGAGAGCATGTGCTCCCTCCCCACCCTTCTCAGCTCTGCTCAGCTGCCTGGGCTTCTGGGCATTATTCCAATACTGAAAGGTATGAAGGGGCCCCAGTCCTGGCAGCCTGCCCCTCCCTCACACGGCTTGGGGTAAGGAGGGGAGGGAAGGTCTGAAGTCAGGCCTTCTGCTCCTCTAGACTGTAGCCTTGACCTGGACCCTCCTGAAGGAGACCAATCAGAATGTTCTCTGAGACTTTGGAGAAAAGCAAGAAAACTGGGAGCTGGGTCTCACGTGCCGAAAAGGGGGGTTGTTTGCACAGGCATCCCGCCCCCTCCCCCAGCCCCCGCCACACACACAATTGCACACATACTGTCTGACGGCATGAGCTGTGTCCTTGCTCTGTCTATTTTCAGTCAGAACTGGAAGAAAAGGATGTTTGGGGGCCACACCACCAGCCCCAGCTCCTGCTGCCAGCACCCAGACCATATGGTGCAGGGGTACAGGAGGAGCCCCAAGTCCCAGTTCCTCAGGAAGGGGGGACAATCCTCCCTTCCACCTGCCAGCACAGGTGCTGGGCCTGATGGCTGTAACGAGGGGACATCCTCGGGATTGGGGGTGGGGTGGAGCGCTGCCTCCGCTCCCTGCCTGCACATGCAGCTCTGCACTAGATCTTCGGGAGAGCAGCAAAAGGTGGAAAAGAAGAAAGACCCAGCTTGGTCTCCTGAAAATAGAACTCGGGTAGCTCTGAGTGCTTTCCTTTGTGAGCTCTTTGAGTGGAACCCCTGCTTCCTCCTTCAAGGTTTAGACATCCTGCCCTCTATTCCGAGGTGCTGGGGGCTGGCTCTTCCTTAGTGGGAGGTTCGCAGGAGGCCTGAGACCAGACTCTCCTCCACCCACCCTCCCAGCAGAGCAGGGGGCGGAGAGGGAGGACTTTTTCAGTGTCCCCACCTCCCAGCAGGAGGCTTTTAGACGCCCTGGCTAAAAACCCACAGCTGCTGCTGTCATTACTGTAGGTTAGAGAAAGGCAGTTCAAGTGGCAGGAGGGCGTAGTTGTCAGGGTTGGACTCTGCAGTCAGATGGACCTGGGTTCATGTCCCGACTCCTCTACCAGCTGTGTGACATCGAAGAAGTGGCTAACCCGCTCTGAATCTGTCTGCTCCTCTGTAAAGTAGGGACAATTATAGGTCCTGCCCCATAGGATTGCCGAGGATTACAGGAGATAACGTGAGAAAATGCACACAGTAAGCGCCCAGCTGTTAGCTGAGGACATTGGAAACGCAGACTCAGCCCTCACTTGTGTCTGAAACCAACATGGTGGCTGATCGGAAGCCCACGTTGCTGAGATTTCCTCTTGGATCTGCCTGACTCCGCTCACCCATCACTGCCCCCCACACCGCCAGCCTCTGACTCCCAGGAGAAGGCAACCTGTAGGCCACCCTGTACCTGCAGAGCTGGGAAAGCTGTTCCCTTCAGCCGTCAAGGGCAGGCTGCGGGAGAGAAGGTGCGGGGCATCAGGGAAGAGGGCAGAAATGACAGAGGGAAGGCTCGCTGCACAAACACACTCGGCACGAGTTTCTGGGGGCGGTAAGACTTTGGAGGAACAGGTGGGTGGGGTCACAGACAAACCTCAAGGGGGCCCAGGGACCTCCGGAACGTGTATTCCAAGAGAGGATCCAAGCTGTTTGTTTGCAGATTCTCCGAGGAATCTGAGACCCCAAATTGGTTAAGAACCACGCTGGACTCCGGTCTGGAAGTCAGGAGGTCTGGGCATTAGATTTCACCTGCCGCTCACTCCTCAGGCAGCAAGCTTCCTCCTAACTTTCCCCATCTGCTCCAGGAGGGGTAAGGCCAACTGGGGTTCATGGTCCAGGTGGGGCATCCCCAGGCTCTGCGAAGCCTGGTGAGAAGTGATGGAGAAGATAAGGAGAACTGGGGCTTGGGAGGCGGGGTCCCAGGAAAGTGGGAGGGGGCTCTGTCCCACCCCTTCCCAGGAGCCCACTTGCTCCATCAGCCAACATGTCAGCCAGCCAGCCGCCAGGAACTGAGCTGCATCCCTCCACCAACCCGGGAGGCTGTTGCCATGGCAACTTCATATTTATCCACTTTAGCTCCTAATTAAGGGGAAAAGCATATAACATATTGGATGTCAAGGAGGCTTTGTGAGCCTCAATTTAGTGGCTGTGCCTGGATGTCAAACTCAAGCGTGATTGCTGTTAATCACCTTCCAAATTACCAAGACAGGTCACAAAGGGGAAGGTCCCTCAGCCATGAGGGCAGCGGGCACCAGGGGAGATGATGCAGTGATGGGGGCAGGAAGAGGGATCTGTTCTGCATTATGACCTGGGGGCTGCTGGGTGAATGCTGACTCGGGGGTGCCCGATTATAAGGTCTATGAGGACAATGGCTAGGTCTGTTCCCACTGACCCTGAGTCATGGATCTCCACTCTGGGGATTCACATATCAAGGCCCTTGGTCTGCAGAGAGGGACTGACTGATGGGTGAGCTAAGAAGCATGTAAGGACCATCTGGTGGCCTCTGATGTCAGAAAGAAGATTGACAGATGACCAGGGCTGGTAAATGCAGCCGACCTGATAGCTGGATGCATGGATGATGTCACATGGTAGATGGAAGGCCCGGTGTGGGGGTCTGCCTAGGAGGGGCTGACAGGGTGGCTGCATTCACCAGGGCATCTGGGATCTCTCAAGGGAGTGCCTGGCCTCTCACCCCAACTCTGAACCCAGGGCCTTCTCAGGCGCCAGCCAGTCAGAGCAAGCCCTGCTGGGGTGCGTCTGGCCTGCCGTTGGGGCTGTGGCCAGAGCCACATTCCTGGGAGAGGCTCCAGCGGGTCTCTGGGGATGTGGGAAGTGGGGAGTGGAGATTAATAGAGTAAGGTCAGGCGTGGGGGGCACCGGAGGGAGGACGTCTGCAGAGTGGTTAAGAGCATGAGTGATGGGGCCAGGCAGACCTAGCCTAGAGTTTCATCTTGGCTGGGTACAGCTGTGTGACTTTGATCAAGTCACCTAACCTCTCTATGCTGTGCTTTCCTCATCCGTCAGGTTGGGGTGATGATAATTCATACCGCACAGGGCTTTGTGAGGATTTAACACAATGATAAATGTAAGGAGCTTAGGGCAGTGCCTGGCACATGGTAAGCTATTTAGACATTTTTATCAAAAGAGGCAGGCCTGGAAAGGAGGGGCAAGCATGTGTGACTGAGGGCTGGGCCTGGGCAGGTAATGGGGCACTTTCTCTCTGTCCCCTTTTGATCAAGGCTCCCAGAGAAAGAACTCAAAGAAGGGAACCCTGATGAAGGCTGGGAGCTGAGCGTGGCTCTGGGAACAATTGGAACCTGCTGGGCCTGCGTGGGTTGGTTTTCAGTCTCAGAGAGGGTGATGGGGAAGGCGGCCTTTGTTCTCACAGTACTGATGTCACTAAGGGCCAGAAAGGACCGTAGTGGAGCCGAACGTGGAGATCATTAGAACTACCTGGGGTGATTGCACAAGATCTACTGTCTTGGCTCACCCCAGATCTCCTGAGTGAGAGCCGTGGGTGGGACCTGGGAAATGGGTTTTAAACACTCTCAGGCGGGTCTTACCGTCATCCAAGCTGGGGACTTACCTTGTCAAAACCAGAGAGTTTGGAGCTGGAAGAGCCCTCTTTGTCCAGTGGTGGACAAACCCTCCCCCGCCTCTTTACCTTTTACATATAGTATCCGGTTTCCACTTGAAAACTGTGTTTGAGAAAAGAAAAAAATCCTACAGCTTAAAAGTTTGGGAAATGTCTATTATGGTAATAATAATAATTATAGCTAACATTTATTGATTGTTTACTGTGAGCTTGGCACGATGCTAAGTGCTTCGCGAGGATTGTCTCTTTCAATCCGCTCACTGGGTGCTGAAGTAAGCCAGGTCATTTATAAAGTTGGGGAAACAGGTTCAGAGAGGGATGTCAAAGGTCACATGATTTGTTAGTGGAGGATCCAGGATTCAGACCTAGGCATTCTGAATCCATGATTGGGCCACCTTCTCCTTCTACAGTTGGGGAAACAGGAGGCCCAGAGAAGTGAAGTGACACACAGCAAATTGGAGGCAAATTAGAACCCCTTCTCTTCCTCCTGCTTCCCATCCTCACCTCTTCAGACACATTTTGCTGAGAAAAGTTAGGACAGACTGGCCTGAGGGAAAGGATCTCAACTCTGTCCCCATGAGAGGCAGAGTCCTGGAAATTGCAGGTGAGGTAGAAGGAGGTTGGCAGATTCCTGACTTAAGGGAGAAGGGGAAGCTTGGAGGGAAGGGGTCACTTGGGACATGGCAGCCATGTCTGTGGCAGCCTTGCGGGCCTGGTAGGAGGAGTTGCCATGGCCTGGTTTCCGCAGATGCGGGCTGCAGCCGTCAAAAAAAAGGCTATTAAGAGAAAATGCTTTGCAAGGAGCTGAGCAGCTGGG